ATTTGTTTGCAACCGATGAACTCTACGCCAAATTAGATGATTGCCTAGAAGCTGTCCAACTAGACTCTGATGATCTATTAGCATGGTGAACCTCGTCCGTGGCCAAACCACCTCGTAAACGTCGCAAGAAAAGAGAACTCAAACCCATCGTCTATGTTAGATTAACAGACGAGAAAAAAGGAAACCAAAACCCGTTACACTCCGTTGCTTACGTGATACAGGAGCATCTGGAACCTGGATTGCTCAACCTCATGCAAAAAAATTACGCATGAAGGATCTTGGGGGCTCCAAACGAGTGGGACTACCCCTGCAGGAGAATTAAACACCAGCACGAAGTGCAAAGGTGCATTTACCTCGCATCCTGAATTCAGCGAAGATAGAATTATCGAAGTGGATTTACACGTCACCAAGAGCTTGGGGCGTATGACATGATCAAGGTCGAAACATTCTCTCTGACTTAGGTTTCAAGTTGATTTCACTACATGTCAGTGGAATGGGACGGCGCATCTTTTCCTATGAAAGACAGCGAACCCAATGAAGATGAAAACTTTTTCATTCCTAATCCTACCGCTGTTGATGACAGTGCAGATCGTCTCAAGAAGATTCTTTTTGATGCGAAAGACGAACAAGCGGACTTAAGGCAGGTTTGCAAAGTCAAGATCAGTTAAAACCGGAAGAGAAGGAACAGCTTCATTCCTTACTGACGAAGTACTCTGACCAATTCGATGGTACTTTAGGAAAGTGGCAGATGGAGGACTACGAAGTAGAACTTCTCCCTGATGCTAAAACCTATCATGCCAGGGCTTATCCTATTCCACGGGTTCATACCACCACTCTTAAAATGGAGGCTGAACGTCTCTGCAAGGCAAGAGTACTCAAGAAGTTGAATCGTTCCGAGTGGGTGGCAACAACTTTCATCATTCCCAAGGAAAAGATGGATCTTATACGATTCATCTCTGATTCCGGGAACTGAACAAAAGGATTAAGCGGAAGCCTTGTCCTATCCCAAAAATACAGGACATGCTATTGAAACTAGATGGATTCAAGTACGCTACTAGTCTGGACCTGAACATGGGATACTATCACATCGAGCTGTCACCTCACTCGAAAGCAACTCTGTACCATCGTACTTCCGTGGGGAAAGTACGAGTACCAGAGGTTGCCCAATGGGCCTATGTATAGTCCCGACATCTTCCAAGAAAAGATGGAAACACTAATGCACGACCTAGAATCAGTCCGTGCATACATGATGATCTACTCACCCTAACTAACGGCGATCTAACAGAACACGTTGAAAAGTTGGATGAAGTTCTCCGAAGGCTTTGAGAAGCCGGACTTAAGATCATTGCTACCAAGTCCTTCTTCGCAAGGAGAATTGAATACCTAGGGTACTGGATTACTCGAGAAGGGATCCAACCTATAACCAAGAAAATAGACGCGATCAAGAATATCGCTCCTCCTACCAAAAAGAAGGAACTCCGTAGATTTCATTGGACTAGTGAACTACTATCGAGACATGGTGATTAGAAGATCACATGTACTGCCCCCACTCGCTTCGTTGACTTCCAAAACAACGAAGTGGAAATGGGAAGCGGAACACGACAAGGCTTTAGCCAGATTGAGAAAGATCATTCAGCAAAGAAACCTTGCTAGCCTACCCTGATTTCAACTATACATTCGTTATCCACATGGTTGCGAGTGATACTCAACTATAGGTGCAGTAATTTCCAGAAGGGAAAACCTATTGCTTTCTACAGCAGGAAGCTCAACCCTGCTGAGACACGTTACACAGTTAACGAGAAGGAACTTCTCAGTATCGTAGAACTCTGAAAGAATTCCGTAACATTCTTCTAGGACAGAAGATCGTTTTACATACGGACCACAAAAGAATCTTACATGTAAGAACTTCAATACGGATCGCGTAATGCGTTGGCGCCTTATTCTGGAAGAATACGGGCCTGAACTACGGTACATCAAAGACGAACAGAACATCGTCGCTAATGCGTTGTCGAGACCCTTCCAACATCTCCAACAACCGACGTTCTTCAGAACAGATGGACGCCAGCGAGATCGCTGAACTCATGGCTGCAGACGAAGAGGACTTTCCTAGCGGGTTCCCTCTCTCGTTCCCCGAGATCGAACATCGTCAGAAAAGACGACAACGATATCAAGAAACTCCTCAGGGACAACCAAAACGACTACAAGAAGCAATCTTTCCCAGAGGGGATAAGTCTTACGACTTGTAGTTAAGGACGATAAATTCGTCCGTACCTAAAACTAATGCAGAAGAAGCTAGTTGAAGGTACCATGGTGTGCTGTGCATCCTGGCGATACTCCACGGAACTAACCATCAGGCAAACACTACACCTGGAAAGGATGCGCAAGCTGTGCAGTCCATATGTCAGCGTTGCCAAGAGCTGCCAGATGAACAAAACCCCAAGACGCGTAAGCTGGCATTGATGCCTCCAAAGACTGCTGAGGAGAACCCTTGGGAAAGAATATGTATTGACCTGAAGGTCCTTACAACGTCGGGGATCCCAAGAAAAAGAATACCTGTCCATTCATATGCTTGAAATGATTGATCCAGGTAACCGGATGGTTGAGATTCAGAGATCTGCTCCAAGGTCAGCAGACGAAGTAGACCATCGTTCTAGAACAATACGTGGCTTACTCGGTATCCATGGCCTGCTGAGGTTATCATGGAGAGGCGCGGAGTTCCGCGCAGGGTCGAAGACCTCCGGGATGATATGACCTTCGTCGCAGTTCATCACTACGGTACCCTCAAGCCACTCTATGGTGAGCGTCCTCAACCAAACGCACTTGAATCGCTGTTCAAAACTCAAGTGCCAGAGACCTGTGAATGGATCACTGGGATGGGTCTCCGGCGGTTCGCTTTGCTGAATGCCCGATTCATACCACCTTGCGCGCGAATCCCGCAGTCGTTGTTCATCGTGACGCGTTTACCAAACGTCCGGTTCGAACCACTGGGTACATTAGGAACGTGCCAACGACTATCAACAAAACAACGACAGGGAAACGCGGACGTGGTCCCTCATATACAATGTCGAACGAAACTGTGTGATTCACAGTATCAGCACGAAGTACGGGTCAGCCAGTAGGTCCTTACACTGGGGACCGAGTTCATGACATGAGCACTGTACGCTCCAATGCTACGCGCCACGGCGGCACAGTCTACCAGATTGGAACATGGTTATATACCCATACAAGGCTGCTCCCTTGTAGTTCCATGTGCGACGCACATGTCTCTCCATTCCATGAGAGTGCCCCGGCACTTTATCATGTTCTCCTTGTTCCGCTGCTGTCGGCTTCTGTGCTTGTCAGGGGCGAATGCATCACGGCTTCTTAGCCTTTTCGCGACCCGATCCTGATAGGGTTTGGAGTTCGATCTGGCGGTTCTCTGTGAATTGACTTTGCGACGGGTTCTCAATTGCGCGCTAGTCATACTAGGTTGATGATTGAACTCGCTCTAGATTTAGCCAGCGTGGTACTTCCACGCTACTAGATCAGGCTAGACACCTTCCACGCGTTCCGTTTTAGGATCGTGGAGAGACGTAGGATTACTACCGCAACCTACTCTATCACACTTTATAGTCTCCCGCGGGAAGCCAGATCTACGATCCCTTGATGATGATCTCTCTCGTTGATTAGTTTTCATAGCTTTCTAATCCCTCTCATAACTTTCATTCTCTCAAACTCAAAACACTCGAAAGATCTTTACACTAGCTTTTAGCGTAGTGCAAGTTGTCTCATTGATTGCACGCTTGGTGGATCCATGCAATGTGGAAGGTGGTGTTGTCCTAATTTGGTAGCGTTCCAATCCAGAAATGAGAAAGTGGCTCTGGATGTAATCTTGCACTTTCCCAACATGACTTGCATTGTAGCGGTAGACAGTCTCTGCATCCTCTGGATTCAGGAGCCATAGCTTGTTGCATTTGAAAGACTTGTCCTTGAGCGAGCTCCTCTCAAACCCTGGCCTCGAATAGCTTGGACTTGACACAACTCTTGAACAACCACCACACAACAAGTCCGCGGGAAGTGGGAAATCTGTGCAATACTTGATGTTTCGAATGCTCTTGCCCAGCGCAACAGGATGCGACACACCACCACCATCTTCCTTGTTGCTGCGCAAGCAGCGGCCTGAAGAGGAAAAGCTCATCTTGCAACCAACCAACTGAAAAGGAACCAATGCTCAAAGAGTGTTTTCGCTTACAGTCAGTCGGCATTGGTTGGAGTTACCATTTCCCATTCTTTACATGATCGAATTCAGTTGTTGTTGTCTTTACGATGCGCAGATTAACGTTCGCTAGTACATTTTCTACAGCAATTAATATTGTCGCACTCGGGCCCTACAGTATAAGACTCGTGCCACATGATTCGAAACGTCAGACACGCAACAATGGGATTGGAATGGACGGTTCAAACATGGGTTTAAGGCTACAGGTTAGGTGAAAAATGAGCGATTTTCTGCTTCTCAGAACATGATCGGATAACAACCCAATTACAACCCAGCATCGTGCCATTGGAATGCCAATCTGTTAACAACAATTCCAGTGGAAGTTTCCAATCTTGCGACGCTAGGAAGTGTTCTCGGGATTTTACAAATCATGTTCTGATGAGCACATTATCACGGTAAATAACGCGTGTAGCGCGCGCCGCGCCCGATTGCTCGGAACGTATCGATCTGGGGGTCATAGACTCTCGTAAATGTAAAGTACACGTAAGTTTACTCACGAACTGCCCATTCATGCCTTGGGATTGCGATTGCACTTTTGTGTTCCTATCCACCTCAGCAACGCGGAAGCACGTCTGCATGGCTAGCTAGTAGCCAATGTGCGGAAGGCCAGCAACTGTGAGCAACCATCTCGAGGAAGGCTATAACGCAACATGAATGTATCTACTGTATCCAAGTGCTCAGAAACCAACCAAGGCAACCCGATCTTCAGAGCAGTGGCCAACTACAGAAAGAAAGTTTGATGAAAATGAGACTCGTTGCACGGACTTGCCGTCAGCAGCAAAGACGAGGACGACCAGGCAATGGCGCATTGAGAGCGCAAAGACGAAATGGCTTTGTGCTCTTGCTGGTGTCTCTGTCATTGTTGCCTTGTGCATTGACATTTTTATTTTTGGCTCCCTTCAAACATCATGCTCAAGGGGATCAGCTACAAAAAAATAACCCTGCTGCGCATTCGATTGCAACTTCCATCGGTCGTGGTGGTGCCATTGCTAGTACGAGTAGTACCTCAACCTCTCTCCGGGCTATTGCGACACCCTTCTTGTTGGCTGTCACTGCCATGGCCAATCAGTACAATTCCTGGTTGACTCACTACCCGCTTTTGACTCATTGCATGACGGCATCCAGTCTATCCGGGCTTGGGGATGTCATTGCTCAGCTCTCGTACTGGCAATTCCAGCAATTGGAACAGATAAGTGTTAGCTTCAAAGAAAGTGACTTTCAGTTGGATCGTGAGAGATTGGGGAGATTCATGCTCAAGGGACTTGGAGGAGGCATGATTTGGGCATTTTGGTTCGACGTCAATGAGCAATGGACCAATCAGCTCATGCAGTATCCATTCAGTAATGCTGGTGGAACCAGTACCGGTACCCTGACTGAATGGTTGGCCAGTCTAGGCGGCGATTCAGCAGTGATGCTTGGAAAGACAGTTACAGCTCTTTTGTTGGAACAGTTTGTGGGCGCACCCATCATCTTTGCCTTTTGGGAGATCCCCGTTCCAACATTGCTCAGCCCAGCCAAAGACAACAGTTCGATTCCCAGACAAGTGCAAGAAAAGTTGCCAGTGTTGCTGGTTGACAATGCCAAGATTTGGACTTTTGCCAACATGTTCGTGTACAGTGCACCTCTTGAATACCGAGTTTTGATTTCCAGTCTTGTGGATATTCTCTGGCAGAGCATTGTTTCGGCTCACGTCATGACCACACATGGTGATGCTGCCGCTGAAACTGTTCTTGCCGATGACATCGGTATTGCTGGGAATGGTGGCGATGAAGAAGACACTGCGTGTTTTGGTGTAGACCTTGCTTGATTGTGGTTCCGTACGGGTGGTACGTATGTATAGACCTATGCATAGCAAGCAGCACATGAGTAACCCTTTAGAAATCGAAAGCGCCTAAAAGCCAACGAAAGTGTTTGTTCCAACTTTCCATCATGCTTCGTACCAGGTTTTCATTTGGCGCGGCATGACGCGTACCGTGCGTACTGCCTATCATTGGTTAGAGGCATCCAGCCATCCTGACATCCCTCTCTTCAAGCAACAGCAGGTCGGACTGTCTAGCTAGCTAGCACACGAAGCACGAAGCCCTCGTGCGGTACCGTGCGCGCATCATACCGGTAGGCACATTCGTTTTGGCATCGCGCGTACTTGATTACCGGTACAGTACCACGGCAAACACCGGCCCGTTCGCTCCTTGGCATGCTCCAAGACGAGCACGGGTGTCATAATGCTCGCAAAATCGAACCAAATCACTAAAGGACGAGGTAGCACGACATCAAGCTGTCGGCCTTCAATACAACAGTACGGCACCCGATGCGGCGTGTTCCTGGCCTCTTCTCTCTTCATGCCACCCACAATCGCTCGTGTCTTGCGCTCGCACATCTGCATTGCTTGCCATGCTGTGAGTGACTGTTGTCGGAGGGTGACATTCCGTCTCTCCCTTGTGTGTTCGTAACCTACATGGACTCGTCCCGTAACAGTATGGGCTATCTGAATTCAGTGTATCTAGAGCTACTAGCATAAAAGCGACGACAGCACCACGTACGGTACCGACAGGACGAGGACGCGCATGGAAATGTCTAATACAAAATTGGTTGCTAAATTTTCAAGTAATACACGTACAGTGCGCACTTGATTGGTTGGTTGGTTGGTTGGTTTGATTCTTTCGAATTATCCTTGGGCAGAAACGACTTTCTGTTCGAGTACGAATGGCACAACGTCCTCGACTATACCAGTACTGTTGATTGAATAGCTGGTGGTCGTCATTGCAGTTCATTTGCAAGGAATGGCCAGCTACTACTACTAGAGCATGCAGTCGAAACGTAAGTACGTCGTGTGGATTACGATCCCAGTTCGAGTACCTCTTATGGATCTCGAAAGGGCATGTCATGTTGTTGCAGTAGAGTGACAGGAGTGACTGGTGATTGTTGTTGATGTTGATCATGATGACTGTTTGTAGCGGTACTGTCGGTCGTCATTCCTGTGTTTGTCGTTGTCGTGACCGTGGTGGTGGTACTAGTCGTACTAGTAGTAGTACTGAATGCTGTGGCGGTTGTGGCGGTTGTGGCGCTGTAAGTCTTTGGCGGAGAAGGCAACGAATACCATGGTGCTAGTAGCACTAGAAATCCCATGATCAAGCATGCGATGACAAGAACGTCCCATAGTGTTTCCATGCACGCCTTGAGTTTGCTCTTTTGTTTATTGTTGTTGTTGTTGTTGTTGTTGTTGTTGTTGCTTGAGGATTGCTGAGTGTGCAGCAATACTTTGGATGGCGAAGAGGAAACGAAGGACGAGTAATAGTGTGGGACGGGTCTATACAGATGATGTTGCTGTTGCTGTTGCTGTTGCTGTTGATGCTGTGGTTGTTTTGTTTGTGGTTTCGGCTGAGAGGAATTGGCAGGTGACGTTTTGGAGGAGAAGGACGAGTTTCTCGTGAAGCTGTTTCTCTTGTTTCTGTTTCTCTGTCTTGATTTGGAATAGGATCCAAGAGATGCAGAAGAGTCAGCTCTGCTCGTGAATGCGTTACTGTTGTTGGTTCTGAAAGACCTTGATTTGGTGAGGTTTCTCCAAGAGTGACTTCTTCTGTTGCTGGTATTGGATCCCAATGACCTGGACGAGTCATTGGATGGATGGTTTTGATGTTGCTGTTGGAGTAGTGAAGCTCTGGTGTTTGTTCTCCTGAGTCTGAAGGAGGAAGCATTGGTACTAGTAGTGGAATGATTGGAGAAGGAGTTGAGTGATCTATTGGAAGCATTGGAAGCATTGGAAGTGGACTGAATGGATCTGTTGGAATAGTTTGTTGGATTGTAGTGTGACTTGGAAGACGATAGCATGATGGCTCTGGCTCTAGTCCTGAATGAAGGCGTCTTTTTCAAGTCTCTGGAATTTGATTGTGACTTTGATTGTGACTTTGGTTGTGGCTTTGACTGTGATTGTGATTGTGACTGTGAAGCAGTGGAAGCAGTACTTGTCACGGACTGGTTGGAAGCACCTCTGAACAGAAGATTTCTCTTGGATCCATTGGTAGTATTAATACCAGTACTGGTAGAATCCTGAATGAGAGCCAATGCTCTGGAATTGAGTTTCCTAAAAGATCCACTTTTCTTGGTACTGGTACTGGTACTGCTTGAACCATCTTGGTGTTGTTTTTCTTGTGGATTTGGTTCATTTGGCAGCTTTCTGGATGATTTGAAAGTCTTGAAAGAATTGCTTTTTGTCTTTTTCAGGTCTTTTGAAGGTGACTGTGAAAGTGACGTGCGGAAAGACGTACTTTTCACGGAATCGCTGGATTCAGCTCTTGTCAGGTTTATTCTCATTGCTTCATTGCTAGTACTAGTACTAGTTTTACTATTAATAGAAGTACTATCATCATGGACTTGGTGGTGGTGGTTGCTGTTGCTGCTAGTAGAAGCAGCAGTAGAAGCAGCAGTAGAAGTCACAGCAGCCAGATAGTCCAAAGGGCGATCAAAGGGAACCATGCTGACCATGCCACTGCTATTTTAATTAATAGCTATGATAATACTGATAGTACAGTACAGTACTACATGTACATGTACTTCATAGACCTGAGCCAGTCAAGGTCAAGATGATCTCTGAGTTTGTTGCTCTTGTTGCTGTTGTTGCTGTTGTTATGCTGAGCAGAACTTGGATTTTTGTTTTTGTTGAGGGAGAAAAGAATCTTTGGGTTCAAGTGGTTCGTGTTCGTGCGACCTTCGCAGTCATACTGGTTGGGTGAACTGGCATTAGCGATAAATATGGATTAACATACTTGAAGATCTAGGTTGTTCTTAGGAATGCTTCAATCGATAAAGAATATCGGGACTATCAAGAAACTGTACTACTCTATAGTGAGACGTTGAGCCAAAATCACTCACAGGACATCATTCTATCAACCGACTTTCTTAGTGGTCATAACTCTCAACTCACAATACACTCGCTGCGCCAATGTCATGATGTCATGATGACATGACGAACCACCTCAGGATACGGTAGCCACCAACTACATGTAGCCAGAAACGAACTCTACGCCTAACTGCCCGGAATCGAATCAAACTGGTTGCCCAGCCAAAGGCAGGACGCATGCTAACCTACCGTACGCATAGCCGTGGGTTGCTTGTTCGTTCTCGCTGAATGGCTGCCTTGTACTGGTACCAGCAGCCTTGGCCAGGAACTGGCTCGGCAGCCATCAAGCACTAGCTAGCTAGTAGTACATGTACATGACTTTCTTTTAGTGGCTGCAAGGTCATCTCAACCATGCACAGAACTGGGAGAGGACTCGACTCGAATCTTATGGGCTCGTCATGATCTGACTCGACTCGACTCGACTCAACTCAACTCTATAGTTTGACCTTCGATGTGGAGGCAGAAAATGGATTTTTTTTACGGTACTTTTGGAACACTTCACTGACGCAGCAAAGAGCAACTGTCAACCTCAGCATGTGGCGGCGAGGGACGAGTTGACGCACCGATACACAAGATTTCAAGTCTTCGCTCAACTCGCTCTGCGCATCACATGGTTGAATTGACTGGCTGACCGGTACGGTACCGGTAGCTACCGATAGAGGTGCAAGGACCCCACTCGCTTGCTTACCTAACCCCCCAACTCCTCTGCTGATGGTCAAGCTGGGCTGCAATGCTCAAGCAGCCATGCAGAGAACTCGATCGTTGGGTCACCGACTCGAAGCAATCTTGTGGGCTCGTGATGATGATGACGGATGTACGGTAGACTAACGGTGGGCTTCGAGGAAAGAGCTCTCTGCTCTTACCGGTACGACATTGACGAGGACGCCGCCTATACGTACCGGTACGCTCTTCGCTCCTGGCAGCCAGCCATTGAATACGTCATTGTCATTGCGTCCGACGAAGAAGGCAGTCTTGGCCATAAAAACATCAACCAAACAAACCTTGCTTGTCGATAGACTATTAATAGAATCGTTTTCCAGTTCTGCTAGTATTTTAAATAGTACTCGTGTTGCAGCCTCATGAGCCCTATTTCTTCCATGACGGTGTATTCTTCAACAATAGAGTAGCGTCATCGTCGTCGGTTACCTTGCCCATGGTGGCTGCCGCGGCAAATAGGCAGAATTGAATTGCTTGAGAGTGGCGTCCATATCTTCGGCCAGGGCTTTCAAGTCTTCCTTGATGTCCGTAGTACAGTCGTACAGTACCATACCAGCTTGAAGAAGCTGATTGATTGATCATTCGATGCCTCGCTCATTTACTTTCGGCTGGCTGACGCACGGTGTTGTCTACAGGATGAAATTGGGATGGTCTTCACACATCTGCGCCAGAGATGGTTGAATTGAATTGAATTGACTGACCGGCACGCACAGCACCGGTACCGGTACGGTAGAGCTGCAAGGACCCCACACGCTAAAGCGGGCGAATAATAACCCCCAGAGAGAGCCAAAGCTGCATTGGTGTCTGTCTGTGTGTGTGTTTTTTTAACGCGCTCGTGATTATGTATGATTTCGTGTCTGCTGACCCGATGCATTGTAGCCGCCGACCACTCGCAGTGGGGCTACGATTAGCGCCAGTTACACCACATACCGGTAGAACGGCACATGTGCGTGCGAATGTTGAATGATCTTTCATCCGAGGCCGACTTTGCCTTTGCAATTGTAAAATAAGGACCCCCAGCCGAGGCATAGAACTCAATGCTTCATCAAGCGCGAATGATCTGCAGCCAGGCAGCAGTACAGTACTGTAAAAGTATCCACGTCTCACCCCGAACGAACTCTATTGGGTGAAGGAGCACCTTGGCTTTCGGCTTTGCCGCTGTTGTGAACGTAGCCTATCTATTACAGGAATAAAGAACGCAGCAAAGCCAACACACATGTAATAGTTATGTTGCTTGGCCATAGAGAAGTGAAGGTTTTGTGCAAGTAGGTACCGCCCACCGGTAAGAATCCAAGTTCCAACCTGATTCGTCTGGCTACTTTTATGCATACATGCACACGTTGTGGAAGCAAATGGCTGTACGGAGTGTCCAGGTAGCTACCGGCGGCTACTGACATAATCGGGGGCCGTAAGGCACGGCAAGGGTAGTCTACAGTACTCGTATGGGGAGCCAATGCTGGCATACCGCACTAAGACTTTGTCACCCATTTCATGCCGTATTGATCATTGAATCATTCGATTCGATTCAAATGAACGACACACTTGGTGCTTGGGGGGACTGTGCGCGAATGGTACTGGTACTACTGATGATGTTGGCATTGTCCATCCTCGACAGCTGCGTTTGCTGCCTTATACCAGTAAAGAAAGAGCCAGTGGAGCCATCAAACTGCAGGACCACGGAACACGGGCCGATGAAACGACGTCTGTATCTGAGTGATGTTTACATACCGGTACGTGAAGCAGTACAAGTAAGTGGTCCGACAAGGCACCAAGGATGTGATGTTTGTATGTTTGTTGCGATCTTTGAAAGGTCACTCTTTGGCTAGCTCATTCAAGGTGCAAACAACCATTTTACGTGATTTTGTGAGCGACTTGGAGGCTGTTGTGCATGTGCACGTGAGCGACGTGACGTGTATGAATGATTGACTCAGATTGAGGTAGGGACGTAGGACGTACATGAAAAGCAATATTTTGCCAATAAAGTTCACTCCTACTAGTTTTGTTTGTTATCTAAGACTACAGTCTCCTCATCACTTGCAACCTCTTCAACAGCATTGACAGACCCATCCATTTGCCACTTGAACAACCAGAAACACAGAGGGATGGCCACCACAACAGATTGGCCTCATTTCAGAGGGTCTTCTTTGCATACTCATCTCCACCAGCTCCAGCTCCACCACTACCTCCAACCTTGCGTTTCTCTTCTCGAGAGTGCTGCGACGAGAAGCCTTGCTGTCACCGGCAATAGAGCTGCTTGAAGCATTGCCTTGCTTCGTCTTCTTCTTCAGATTGCCGGCAAGGTTTGACTTGCTACCTTCACTGCTGTCAAACGACTTGGTTTGAGCCAGGCCAGAGACGATCGATGTCAACTCCGCCACCTGCTTGCGCAGTGCTTCCATCTCCGGCGTTTCACCTTCCTCGCTCTCAGAGTCCCTAAGGTTCGAGTACCATGATGATTCGTCATCGTCGTCGTCAACATCCATTCGATTGGCTCCCTGGTCTTCCGTCTTGATGGTGGAGTTGTCATCTTTGGAGGCCACACTCTGCTGGCGGCGAGAACGAGACGCCTTTGTGGGCGAGACAAAACTCACGCTCTCAGGAATCGACGACATCTGGCTCTGAAACATACCCTTCTTGGCTCTGCCAGCAGTTTGTTTGAAAGAACTAGAGTACAGTTTCTCGATAGTGACTGTTTTGAACTCTTTGCCGTTCTCCTTCAGCTCAAACCAGACATTGGTCTCGCCATTCTCATGGGAGATCTCGAACCCAAAGAAGACGGCATCTTATTTCTGGGTAACGAGGTCAGCATGGATGTTGAAGGGAGCCTGCATACGAAACTCGACAAGGAGCGGCTCATCTTCAGGGAGATGACCACGCAAACGGGCAAGTTTTTGCAAGCACGAGATGTACCGAGTATGCGATTTCAAAATTCCGAAACAGGTCTCATCGTCAAGATCTTCACCATACACAGCTCGAATCTTTTCCACCAGGTAGCAAAGCTTCATATCCGGATTGGTGAAAGTCGGACTCAAAGCCATTGAGATAACGAGCTGGTCAGGTTTGGTGCTGCTCACACGACACTGCAAAGTGTCGTCTTCCATGACAAGACCATTCATCACTTGAACATGAGCGCTTGCACGATGGTTGAGTGAGCTGTCAGTCCAGGCATCCAGTTGACTGACCGCCACAGTACCACCGATTTCCTTGTCCACAGTGAAGGCATTGCAAGGACGAGCTACTCCAGGAATGTTCTTCTGCACTTCACCATCTTGGGCAATGGTCTTGCCGGACATTGACATGCCAGTAGTTGTTTTGGTGCTTCTGCTAGTGCGGACAGTGCCATCACACCGGTACATGGTGGAAGTGTCACGAAAGTAGGAAGAGCGTGGTGGTTTCTTCTTGGATGACGTGCTCTTCTTGCTGCCTGCCTTGCTGCCTGCCTTGCTACCACCACTGCCATCTTTGACAGAGCCACAGGGCCGCTGAGCCTTCAGGCCTTGCCCGCCACCGCCCTCCTGGGTCACTGCAGAACAGAAGAGTGAGATGATGGACCGGAGAAAGGACAATGTGAATGTGAAGAATGGAACTTACTCGTTTCTTTCTTCTCCTTGGTGGCCTTCCACTTGCGTCGGAGGTTGCTAAAGGCGCACTGAAGGCACGCAGTGGTGTAGATCCGAAACTTGGGATGTTCATTCTTGACACCGGCAGCAGTAATCTTCTTCCTGGAGTCCATGGCTTCGAAGATCATCTTGTTGAGTTCAGCCTTGTCCAATTCCAGGGCTCCCCGCCACGAATTGCATAGGCGGGTGTTGTCATCAGGTGCGCCCTTCTCCTTGTACTCGGCTGGAATCTTGGCAAGACGTGCCAACATATCGTCGGTGAGTTCGGTGTTGGTTGCCATTGTGGACTGTCGGTCGTCGAGTTGCTTGCGGTCAAAGAGTGCTCAAAGATTGCGGTTGACTGAACTATGAGAGGAGACTGCGGTGGTGATCGCGGTATCGCGGTCCGGTTTACCGGGGAAGGCGTCATGGTCAGGTTTTCGAGTGATCGCCATCTTGAATGCCATCGATCGCGGTGTGTGGTTTGATTGTGGTTGATTGTGGTCATCGCGGTGCGACACTGGACATCGATCCGGTTGAGATCCGATTCCCGGTTCAGACCGCGGTCCGATTCCGGTGCTGCTTGCGCGATTTTGTAGGGAAATTCAACGGTATCTGACTGGATCTTAACCGGTATCGGATTGCTATTAACCTGACCGGAATATAATATACCTGACTGCCATGCGATTGGATTGCCGTTGACCTGATTGCGCACGATCCATTCGGATCAGAATAATTACCGGATTCGGATTGCGAGCCAATCAAAGCGTGCCGGTCAACCCGGTGTCAACTTTTTCCCCGGTTGCAGCCAATCTTCTGCCGCCAATGGACCGTGCTGTTTACCACACTGCAACAAGTTGACGGCGCAAGAATCTAGGCAAGTAGGAAACTAGTTTGCTGATGGATGAGTTCCGAGTGCAGGCTGGCCCAGTGATAGATCTGTCCGAGTGGCGTTGGCCCTTCTCAAGGCATCGAGTGCGTGAGTAGCAGAATGGCGTGATATGTTTCGTGCAGCTAGCTAAGTCAGCATACAAGAAGACGAATCGAATCAATCAACTAGCACTATCTCACTTTCAGTTCTTAGCTAGCTAGCCAGCCATGAGTTCAGTTTCGATCCAACAATCAACCTCCTGTGACAAGAATGAGGACACTAGTTCACTTGGCCATGGTGATACGCCGCATTTCCCGGTACCGGTAAGCCAGAGCGAGATCCACATTCGATGGGTGACGTGTATGGCTGTCGCTCACCTATCCTTCGTTCCCACTGTCTTCTTTCTCAGGCCGGTGACTGTCATGACCGCTTGGGATTTTCTTGCACCGCCCATGTTTGATCTCCATCTGACTGGTGCACAATATTGGGTGGGTTTCGGGCTCCACGCAATGCTCAAATCCATCGGTTCGTTGATGCAACGCACTGATGTCCCACAATGGAGTTGTCCGCAGATCAGTTCGAAAGAATTTGCCGTCGCGTTGCCAGGTACAAGTCAAGTCGATCAGCAAAGGTGACATTGCGTCGCTTCAAGGCCCATTTTGTTGCTCCGCCTGCCGTTGTTGCTGATGGATGGGAACTGCTACAGGAAAGCACCTTCCTTCAGTATCATTTGAACAAGTGCACGAAAAGTCCGGACCCGGAGCACTACCTTTGGGCGCTGATTGCTATTGAAAAGGTATGATACCTGGGAAGTCCTTGCTTCGGCTGTCGGAACACACGAACAAACTGTCAAGAAGTGGGCCGAAATCTATCTTGAAGCCGTTGCCAGGCTTGACACGGATGTCGTAAGTTCCTGGTGTCCGCGGCAGGCAGCCAGTTTGTCCGCAGCCAGTCGCTAGTTCCCCATCTTGCTTTCGCTAACGTCATCGTCTGCTCTGACTCGACTCATCCAGATTGTTTGGGCCAATCGTTTCTTTGGTGACACGGGTGACAGATGTCTTGTTACCGTTGACGAACAACACTTCAAGATTCGGAACAAGATGCTTCCTGGAACCCACTCATACAACAAAGCTTGGTACTCACACAAGTTCTGTCATGCTGGAGTGAGTTATGAGATTGCAGTGTGCATTAAAACTGGTGACATTGTGTGGATCCATGGGCCCTTTCCAGCGGCAACCAATGATATCTCCATCTTCAGATATTGGCTCCGTGACGTGCTGCGCCCTTGGGAAAAGGTTATCGGTGACTTAGGCTACATTGGCGACAGCAAGTGCGTCACCCCACAGGATGCACGAAACTGTCAGCACAAGAGATCCATGGCAGCATTGAGAGCCAGACATGAGACTGTCAACAGGAGGTTCAAGACGTTTGGAGCCCTCACTCACTGCTTCCGGCATCCAACCAGCTCTCACCACATTTTCTTCCGTGCTGCTGCTGTTTTGATTCAGCTTGGCCATCAAATGGATATTCTCATTATGATGTTGTTGGCTACGTTGATCCTGTTACTGAGTCGGATTGGCTTTGAGGCAGCCATGCCAACAATGGCGCAATGGCGCCGGTGGTTGCATTTCTCATCCAATGACTCTTACTGCCTGAATGGTGAGATCTGTTGTTGTTTGTGCTGTGATGAGTGCCGAAGAGAGAGATTAGCTGGTAGATTCTGATGCTGCTCAGACGTTGCGATCTAACAGTTTTGAACCACCAGTTCCGGTTCTTGTGGAAATTATTGTGGAAAGGTCGACCATCTGGCGCATAAGGCCGTACGCCAGCTCGCACCGAGGCCGGTTCACAGTATCCCTGATACGGCATATCTGAGTGGTGGCTGGCTGGCAGTACTCATAAACACTCATGAGTGATTGGCTTGGCAAGCCATTGATTCATATAGCCTGAAGAGTGCATAATATTCTAGTTTGTGGATGGCAATGTTGGCTTGTTGCTGGTCTAGATAACAAACTTAAACAAGTTTTGGTTTAGGTTGATTTGCAGTAGATCACAGTAGTATATCGCTTTTCAGGCACGTCCGTAGGGGACACTTACTTTTATTAGTCTAATTGCATTGCATAAATAATGCAGCACCGGTCCTTCTGACAACGTTAATTAAGTGGAACGATTTCACCGGTTCTAGCTATTTAATAGGAAGTTTTGCTGATTGCAGAGGACATGATGGACTGCAAAGTTCAACAACTTCTAAAGGGCACAATGTCAGTCGCAGTTTCATCGGAACTGGGGGGTGGAGAGATCCAGTTCCATTCATGGCTGATCTCTGCAGTGGTAGACAGCGGTAAACAGTGGTACAGGACGATCCGGCAATTAGTGCCGAAGCTAATTATGAATCACGACTGAAAGTTTGCACGAAGAATTAGGCAACAGTCAGTAGCTTAAATCTTGGCGATTGCCTAAATAGTTGCCTATTTTTAGGCAATTGCCTAAACTGTTGTCTAATGCTTCGAGAAACAACCCGTTAAATGCTAGTAACGGTTGCCTAAATCCTAGCTGTTGCCTAAACTGTTGCCTATTTTTCAACGGTTGCCTAAACTGTCGCTTAAATCATATTTAAAGCACGTTTGATGACAGTTCTATTCAGTCGTGAAACTGAGTCACAAATCCCAATTGCCGGATCGTCCAGATAGTGGTCGACAGTGTTAACGAGATCGGTAAACAGTGGTAAAGATACCGGTAGTGGTAAACAGTGGTGGAAACACCGGTGGGCAGTGGAAAGCCATGGGTGCCTAACCAAAAATGAGCACAGGATTGCTCCATCCCCCTGGAAGAACTTTCAACTAACAGCTCGGCTAACTGGGAACATGTATGTATGTACTACTAGTGCCTCGTTTCCACCTGCCGCCGCGTGACGATACCTACCGCCATTTGGCTACCATCTTCAAAGTGCTCTATCTCCATCATTTTCAGGTCGTTTTGGCTGAAAAAAGAACCATAAGCTCCACTAAAGGTACTCTAAAGAGTAATGGCCATGGTGCTTGCCTACTATATCATGTTAACTAATGGTAGGCTACCGTGATAGTGCCATTTTTCCCTCAATTTGGCCAAAATGGCGGTACCGCCACATGGCTGGAGCAACTCATATCATCGTCCTGGACGCATCCAATCATCACCACACTGTCCTGCAGTCATTGGAAGTATACCAGCAACATCTGCATAGAAGAAGTCATGGTTAGTAGCTAGCTAGCGACGTCTGGAGACGACCAAGCAGAACATGGACGTACCTAATCAGAAGTGCTGTTGGTGCCTGACCTGATAGCTTTCTCGAAGTCATCTTGGAAACGGATGCCCTCGGCCATCTCTTCTCCAGAGTAGCCAACTCGGACAACAAACTGGAGGAACTGTAATGAGTCCTTGTTGGTGCTGTAATCAGCTCTCAACCCAACGACTTTCATGCCATGACGTTTAGACTGGCCATAGAGATCTTGGATCCTCGAGTTGCACAGAGTGGGTAGGTATAACAAACCTGCCACTTCATCACCTTGAGCAACACATCCGGCGGCATCAAATACAGACTCGTGTCCTTCATAGTAGACACGATAGATGCAGGTGGAGTCGAAGCGTTCAATACAAAGCATGCCCTGCATGTGCACTGCCTCTCCGTTGCACCTCTGAAATCGGAAGGATACCTGCTTCATGGAGCCAGATGGCACACCATCAACGTCGCAGACAGGCTTCCAGCATCCTAGTGGTCGTGGAATGATGTTAGCCCTTGCACGTACGAGCTCCTTTGGAGGAGGAGACAGCACAATGACCTTCTTTTCTTCACTGAAAAGGTAGCCGTCATGAGCAACCATGAACCGAAGCATATGCGTGAGTAGGAAATGGATGGAGATGAGACTCAGCAAAACAAACCGAGACAAAAGGTCGACAGAGATGAGGATCCAAGCAAAGATAGTTGGTAGGAACCGCATGGCATTCATGGTCTCCTGGATACGGCGACTGATGAGGTCCATTTTCGTAATAGTTGGCCGCAAATCAACCTACAACAAGGTGGCATGAGTGAGACAGATTGGCATCACGGACAGTCAAATCCTCCTTCGCACAAAGCGACTTACGATTGATTCAAACAATGCTATTATCCATCTCCTCATTGGCATTGATGCTCGGCATGCAGAGTTGCATTGGATTCAAAAGCGTAATTCCTTCCGCGATTCAGATACCCCAGATAAGTAATATCTCCATGGGACACTACAAGGGTGTACCATCAGAAAGAAGATGCCAGAAGCCCAACAGTTTCACTTGAGGGTTTGATGTTATCCATGTGTGTCGATGCATCCGAGGATAGGGATGTGATGTCTCTGGATGTTCCCAATGCGTTCATCCAAACCCCAATGCCAAAAGTCAAACCAGGTGAAGACAGGGTCCTCATGATCATTGAGGGAACCCTTGCAGACTTACTTGTCGAAATTGATCCTGACACATATGCCTCTTTCCTGACATACAAGAAGGGAAGACCAGTCCTCTATGTCGTTGTGGAAAGAGCCATCTACGGAATGGTGTTGGCAGCACTGCTCTGGTACAAGCTCTTCAGGAGCCACCTGGAGGGAATCGGATTCGTATTCAACCAGTATGATCCGTGTGTTGCCAACAGGATGATTGAAGGATATCAGCAGACGATACACTTCCATGTGGACGACCTGATGTCGAGCCACCGGATGAAACTGGTAAACAATCGAACCCTGGAGTGGTTTAATGACAAGTACGGTACCTAAGCCGTAAAGGCAACCCGTGGTCCCAAGCATGACTACTTGGGGATGACAGTGGACTTCTCAGACCCAGGAAAGGTGATCATCGATATGATAGATTACATCAAGAAGATGGTATCCGAATTCCCAGTGGACTTCGAGCAGATGAGAAAGGTGTCCAGTGCAGCTCCTGCTGACCTCTTCAGCTCTGGTGATGGCACCATCCTGAATGACAAGAACAGGGAAACCTATCATACCTTTGCAGCCAAGCTGTTGTTCCTGTCGTGCAAACGTGCTCGACCAGATGTGCAAACTCTGACAACTGTGTTATGCACTCGTGTCAGAAGCCCAACATCTGATGATTGGGACAAGTTGACTCAAGGATTGAAGTTCCTCGAACAAACAGTGGAGGACAAGCTGGTTCTCCACGTTGATGATATCCGTGTCATCACTTAGTGGGTGGATGCATCATTTGCAGTCCATCCTGATTACCGTTTCCATACAGGAGGAGTCATGTCCTTTGGCAGCGGTGCGGTGCTGTCTGTGTCCGCGAAACAGAAATTGAATTCGAGGAGCAGCACGGAAGCGGAATTGATTGGAGCTGACGATGTCATGTCGCCCATGTTGTGGGCAAAGTTGTTCCTTGAAGAGCAGGGGATCGTTGTGAAGGACAACATCCTCATGCAGGACAACAAAAGCACGATCGTTCTTGCAGAGAATGGCAAAGGCAGTTCGGGCAAAAGAACTCGGGCCATCAACATTCGTTTCTTTTTTATTCATGACCAGATTGGAAAAGGCAACCTTAGAGTTGTGTACTGCCCAACCTTGGAAATGCGTGGGGATTTTTTCACGAAGCCCCTTCAGGGCAAGCTCTTCCACGAGCACAGGGCTTTCATCATGGGGCATCCACCCCTTGTTTGATTGCCTAATTTATTTTATTCGTTCCACGGTAGCCACTTAGGGCACCGTGCAGGCAGGAGTGTGTTGGAGGAAATATACCTGACACCTCTTTACTATTGACTCGTGTATTAAACATCTAGTCCGGTTCGCATGCATATTCATGATGCAAGGAACCAAGGGAGTTTTAGGTCTAAAGTGTTACGGGGGTCCTTATATCCAATTCAATCACAAGAATTGCTATGCACCACCAGAAAAACCTCACTTTTGCTTTACAGCTTAATCCAAAACCAAATTACCCCTCAATAAGCTGCAGTTTTACTAGCTAACAATTTGTGGCTGTTGTTGTTGGTGGTGGTGTTGGTGTTGGTGTCTCCATGTTGCTGCTGCTGCTGCCGCTTGCTTTTTGGCAGAGATAATGACTGGTGTCGAGCGGCCGGAGATAATGACTAGTGTCGAGCGGCCGGTTGCGCCATTGTCGACGGAATCCTTGTTTCGCGGAAACAGAAACACGAAAATATTGACTAGGTAGCACAGTTTCCCTGTAAATACTTATAAATGGTACGTTAACTTATGCTGACGTATTTGCTGATGTATTAGCTTGATTAGCCAATCAGATTTCTGCCTTTCACCGCTTTCACCCTACTTCTGACATTTAGGGGGGGTTAGGCACCCCGGAGGGGGGCCAATAGAGGAGGAGAAAAAAAGAGGGAGAGGGTTCAATTCCAGATTCCACGAGCCAGCCGAATTGATGACTGATTTTGAATGCCACCAACGTCCGAAGAACAAGAGTTTACATATAGAAAGGAGGGGGTAAGGCAAGAAAGGTATAATTTCGTTAAATACCAACTGTCACAACCCCCACCTGACGCATGCCGAGGAGACACCATATATGTCAGCATTTGCGTCAGGAGACCACCATTTCATTCAAATCACATGACCGTTAATGACCGGTGGAACCCGAGAGTGTTTTTTTTTCTGATCCAAAGTTGTCCCGACCTCATTATTCCCAGACCCACTAAAAACAAAGGTACAATGATGTGATTGATCGGAGTACGTGCAAATGATATTTCTTATTTTATTGAAAGCTAGGCCATGGCGTATCCATGCAAGCGATATCGGCAATTGGGATCATGTGGTGGCCTTCCTACTCTTCTAGTTAACCATTGGCAGTACCGCTGACAGCAACCTCTTGGTGGTGGTCGGTAAGCTGGTGGAAACGCCGGAAGAATTGGTTGCATGTGTTGTTGTTGTTGCATTTGGAGCATCGCGATTTGCTGTTGCATTAACTGCATCTGTTGTTGTTGGTGCTGGCGATAACAGACAAGATTACCTATATAACTGTTGGTTGTTGGTGTCATTGTTGTTGCAGGACGTTCTGCAATTGGAGGCGGATTTGAATTTAAAACTCCAACTGCCGGTGCTGGTGCACCAACTGCTGGTGCTGGTGCCGCTGTTAGTGGAGCTGCTGCTGGACATTGTGGCGATGGATTTGAATTTGAATCTGGTGGTCCGATCCGTTGTTGTGGCGAATTCGGTGGTTGCATTGCTGATTCATTTTCATCGCACATCACGCAGAGGCAATGGTCCAAAGGAGAGTATTTTTGAAGCTTTGGTTTGACAGATGTAATAAATTCGGAAAAGAACCGCTCACCGTTGTCCTGTTGCAATCGCTCTGCTTTGGGGAAAGGAATGTCCGACTCTTGAAGGCCGCTGGCAATGGCCAGGTTATTAACAAACCAGAGCTCCGTGTGATTCCAATAAGGGACGACTCTCTCCCAACCTTGTGGAATGGGCCTGCTATCTTCCCGCCGCAGCTTGATGAGCGATCTCTTGTACCGAATCGAAAGGTTGTACCTGGCTGTTCCAAGAAGATTTAGGTTGTCAGCGAGGGATCTTCTCATACCGCTGTTTGCAAAGTGGGCAAATCGATCATGGAAAGCTTCCAATTTGGACTCGCCTCTGCGTGACAAGTACTCCGTAAGTTGATGTTTGGAGGTTCGCGATGGAACAATACTGTCATACATTTCTTCCAAAGGAAATGGATCCGACAAATGGTGTGCCTTGAGCTTACAGTTCTCAACAGCCGTTTTGGTGTCTTGTGTAAAAAGGGGTATCTTCTTCACTGGATCAAGTCGTCCTCGGGCAGGCCTGCTTTGATCTGACGAAGTTACCTTGTAGCGGCAGAACCAGTCATCCAACTTCTGGATCATGGTGTTTGGCTCATGAAGGGATTTGCGCAGATATCTGCTGTACCGGTCTCGGAAGACTTTGCTGGACTGAAGCTCCGCGATATCTTCAGAAGAGTAGCACCTTCCGGTTGGTGACAGTGTCCCATTCTTGAGCGCTCTCAAGAGTTTTTCATAGTCCCTTGGATCATACCGATACACGCATGTCAAGAGATCACCAATTGCATCGAAGTAATCGATGTGGCTTTTCTTGAGTGTTGCTGTAATGCGCTGCTCAAAATGAAAGAGACCAAGTCGCCCTTCAATATCTGGAAAGAGTTTGTTCCAGAACTCTTTCTTGTTTGGCCACGTATCGCTGTACATGGCTCTAGGTGAGAAGTTCGGACGTCTGGATAGCTGCATTGCTGCATGCGAAAAGTGAATTGTTTTTGTGGAAGGAACCAGAATAGCCGATGCAATCTCACCAGTTGATGTTGCCACGTCCCAAACAGCAGCAGCTCCAAGACCTTTTCTGTAATTCTTGACCACCTGAAACGTATGGTCTTGACAGAAGATGCCAGTCTCTGAGACGGATTGCATCTCACGTACGTGCCGATCATGGTCGCTTATGCCCCAAGGATTCCTCGGAGTGGATGCAGCATCGTCAAACATCTCACGGACAGTTTCACCTAATGGAGGATATTGTCGAATGTATTCCCCATCTTTCTCAAAGTACCGGTGAATGGGCTTATTTGATCGGTGCTCTTTTCCGTGTGAGTAATAAGCAGTGATTCGATTCAAGTAGTCGCGATTGATGGCGCTGTACAACATTTTGCTGCATAACTCCCCATTTCCATAGGTGACCATTATTGAATCGAATATAGCTGTTGCTGTTCTAGAGAGATGGCAGTTTCTGGGAAGAGCGTACCTGGGCTCGACTGGGTAGAGAAGGCTGGCATGGGCCGGAATGGTCACCAAAACCTCTGCCGAGTTTGCAGTAAAGGTCCTCTTACACTTGTTGCACTCCATGTTCTGCACCATACACCAAGTCGGAGCACCTTCTACTCCAAAGATGGGGAACAGTGTCTTGTTCTTCGAGAAGTTGGTCCTCACATTGCACAGTTTCCCGCTGCAGGTACAATCAGGGCATTGGACGTGCTCCAATCCAGCACGGTACCAATCCACGAAGAGCAGTTTCTGCCC